GGTGGCACGTTGGTGCGTGTGCTGGGCGAGGCTGGCACTGACCCAGGGCCTTCCCGGAGGCCGCCACGCGCTCGGGACCCTCCACCCCTCACCCCGCCCCCAGCCCCATACCACGTCCCACGTTCCGGAACGGGGGTTGCCCAGACGGCCACTGCTCTGGGGACCTGCTATGGATCCTAGCACGCTCGGCCACTTTGGGAAACGCTTCATCTGGGCTCTGTAGTGAATGCTGGAAGCTGAGGTTTGGGGGCTCTCATGACTTGTGTTCTTCTCCACACAGTGTCCTCGAATCTGACCCCCAGTTTGGCTTTGAGGAGGCGAAGATGAAGCTGCAAGGTAGGGATGCCCAGGGCTCCCCTCCTGCGCTGGAACTCCGCCCGTGGGGAGGGTAGCGAGGGGACGGCTGCGGGAGGGGAGCGTGCCTGCAGGGGATGGTGTGGCTGACCATGTCCGTGTCCCCCAGAGCGGCCGTGGCTCGTGGACTCCTACAGCAAGTGGCTTCAGAGACTGAAGGTACACACCGCTGTCCCCGCCTCTGCCCCAGGGCCAGGCCGTGCTCTCGAGGCCCGGGAGGCGGGGAGGGCCACGGGAGATGGCGCGCAGCTGCCCCAGGGTAGCGCACTAGGGCCCCCCGGAGTCTCGCGCCATAGCCCGCTCCCCCCGGCCACTGGCCCCTGCCCCCTGCCCCAGCCCGACTCCTGCAGGCTCTCCTGGTTAGGTCGGTGGCCGCGGCTCAGAGGTCGTTGGGGCCGCAGTTCTGGAAGAGGCCCGGGCGCCCTGCCCCCCCAGCACCCCAGCGCCCACGGGAGCCAGCAGCCCTCGGCCTCGGCCTGCGGGAAGTGTGGAGTACGGAGGTGTCTGCAACGCTTGGACGCGCCTGTTCCCAACTGAACGTCCTGGTTTTGTCTTACAGGGGCCCCCTCACAAATGTGCCTTAATTTTCGCAGATAACAGTGGAATAGACGTCATTTTGGGAGTCTTCCCCTTTGTCAGGGAGCTTCTCTCTAGAGGGACGGAGGTGAGCGTCCAGGCCGCGGCGGGACCCCTGCCCTGGGCCCTCCACTCGCAGTGGGGTTGGCGCTGTCGTGGTCTCTGTGCGGGGCAGGTAGGTTCGGGTGAGGCTTGTCACACCACGGACCTTGGGTCAGCCTGACCGCAGTGTTCTGGGGCCGTCTTCATCCCGACCCGGGAGCCGGCCCTCCTGGAGGCCACCGAGCAGTGAGAGGTCATCGGGGGTCGTGCTTCTCAGCCGGCAACCCCGGGTGGGTGGGCGCACAAAGGCTGGCTCGGTGCCGGGCGGTGGCTGAGTCCCTACAAAGCTCGGGGCGTCCTGCTGCAGGTCATCCTGGCATGCAACTCGGGACCCGCCTTGAACGACGTGACCTACTGCGAGTCCCTCATTGTGGCCGAGCGCATCGCGGCCATGGACCCTGTCGTCCAGTAAGCTGGCCGGGAGCCTGGGGGGGCCTGCATGGACAGGTGGGGGCACGTTGGGAGCATCCGGGGTGCCGACTCCCAGGGCGCCAACCGACCCCTTGTGCTTGGCAGCTCGGCGCTCAGAGAGGAGAGGCTGCTGCTGATGCAGACGGGCTCCAGCTCCCCGTGTCTGGATCTCAGGTACCCCGAGGCACCTCCACACCTGCCCCCGGCCCCCAGTGCGCATGCCGAGCTGCAGCCCTTTAGTGGGGACCTGGGCGGTGGGCTCGGGACCCGTCGGCTGCACCGTGGGCTGGGTGTGCCTCGTCTGGTGAGGGAGGCAAACGCCCCCGAGGCCCCCCGGCTCCGATGATTGGGTCACCGCATTGGTGTTTTAGGCCCTGGGGACCCTAGAGCGTGAGAACCGGCCATCGGGAGCCGGCCCGGGGCCGGAACGGTTCTCTGGGCCGACCTCCTCCTTTCCTGGGCCGGCTGTTAACCAGGAAGGGGGATTTCATCAGTCCCACATCGAGAAGCGTCGTCAGGCCCGGTTTGCAGGGGGGGCGGGGACTTTGAGCCCAGGGATATAGCGAGCTGGGGGCCGGGGGTCCTTGGGCATTCTTTCCAGTTGCTGCCGTTGTGGGGACGCAGGGTGTGGCCTCTCCCAGGCCCGTCACCCCTGCCTCACCGCCCCCTTCCTCCCCGAAGCCGCCTGGACAAGGGGCTGGCCGTGCTGGTTCGGGAGCGAGGCGCAGACCTGGTGGTCATCGAGGGCATGGGCCGCGCCGTCCACACCAACTACCACGCAGCGCTGCGCTGCGAGAGCCTCAAGCTGGCCGTCATCAAGAACTCCTGGCTGGCCGAGCGGCTGGGCGGCCGGCTCTTCAGCGTCATCTTCAAGTACGAGGTCCCGGCCGAGTGAGGCGCCTGCCCTGCCGGACTGCTCTGCTCGCCGCTTGTCAGGAATGTACTTCGACCGCAACAGGGAAACCGCGTTCAGATCAGAACATTGGTGTCGCGCGCCTGTGACTCGGAGCCAGGTGCGCCCAGGTGTGAGCACGCTGCTTGTGCCGTTGGGGTCTCTTTCGTGCTGCCGTGTTCGTGGTGGGAGCCGCAACTTTTGTCCAGTGAGACATTCGTATTGGAATATATTTAACTGTGAAATAATCTTTTATATATATACACACGTGTATATGTATAGATGTAAATAACGCGCTCGCGTCTCCGGCAGGTCAGCGGGGCCTCGGGCACACTGAATAGAGGCTGGAGTGACACCAGACCGTGCCGTGTGGTTTCACAGAGAGTGGGCCCGGCCCCCCTTCCCGGGGGCGGCCGGGAGTGGGGTCTGCCCTCACTCACTGCCGGGGCCCCTAGGGTGGCCGTGGCTGTGGCCATCCCGTGGCTTCCTGCATCCCCCGCCCCTGTCCAGAGCGAGGAGACTCCCAGTGGCGTGTCAGGGAAGGTCGTCCTGTGTGTCCGCACCCCACTGCACCCGAGACCGACAGGCCGGGCGGAGCCACACTGCTGAGTGGAGGCGGCAGCCGCGAGGGCCTTTGAGGGCTCTCGGGCTTGGTGGCTGCCCGCACTCCTGCTCGGAGCCGATCGACCACATGGCCGTGCCCTGTCCAGGGCGGGCGCCTTGCTGGTCGAGGCCCTGGGCGGTGAGCGCTGACCCTTCCCGCAGGGAGCGGGCCGAGCCACGGCCGCCGCCCGTGTGCGTGCCGGATGGGGCTTTGCGCAGTCGCCTGGGAGCCAGCCTTGGAAGGCGGCCAGCCCCGTCCCCAGCTCTGCACACTCACGTGTGGGGCCGTGAGCACTCCTGCAGCATTCCGGGCCCCCCAGTGACCCACACACGTGTCACTCGCAGCCCCACATGCTAGTGGCCACTTTGGCCAGGCCAGCCCAGCTGGGGTCCCATTAACCCCCACCCCCCACAAGGGTCCCCCTGCCTCAGCCCCCCCCCCAGTCTAGCCCTGCACAGCTCAGCAGGCTGCAGCCCTTTGTGTGGCTTCCCTGGCCCCTCGGCCTGACTCCCCTCCACCGCCTGCTTCCTGGTCGGGGAGCGGCGCTGGCCTGCCTGGTGCAGGGGTGGCCCAGGACAGACACCCAGGAGGCCCCAAGAAGTCCGGCCAGAGCCTGGCTCAGCCCGACGCCCAGACACCCCCACAGGTCCTCCCATCTGCCCCGCCTGCCCGTCAGGGGGCCTGCAGCACCCCGGCCCTGCGTCAGCTGGGCAGAGCCGTACGGGGAGGACCCGCGCTGCTGCCAGGCACCCTTCTGGGAAAGACCCGGGCTTCCCAGGGGCTAAGCCTGGCCCGTGGAAGGTAACCGTGTGGTGGCAGGCAGTGCCCACGCAGGGCTGGACAAGGATTGGCCCCCACTTCTCCCCCCCAGGAGCCCCAGCAGCCAGCCCAGCCCAGCACTGGCCGAGAGTCCCCTGGCTGAGGTTCCTCCAGGTGCCCCCCTTCAATGCACCCCAGATTCTAGGGGCTCTGAAGGCCAGGCACACCTCCCAAATGCCCTGCTTGGTGCTCCTTCTGGCCTTGGGGCACAGCTTCCCAAGGAGGGGCCTGGTGGGTCTGGGGAGGCGTGTGGGGTCGGTAGACACCCTCCACCCGGGCCTTTGCTGAGATTGGCCAAGTGGCCCTGGAGACTACAGAGGGACACCTCGAGGGAGACCGTGTCCACCCACCAGCACCCAGCCTTGGGTCGGGTGTCCAGCTTCCCACAGGCCTTATCGGGAAGACAGCAGGGCTTACCCTAGTGGTGGGACATGAGGCCTCCCCAGCCAAACCCGCCGCCTGCTGCATAAAGGGCACTGCCTGTCGCAGAGGTCCCTGGTGGCCCTTGGCACCCCAGGTGGCTCCTGTGGAGGTCGGAGGCCGGATGCCGGGGTGCGGGATGAGCCCAGACACAGAGCCCTTGTGGCCTGGCTGGCATCCCGCCTTCTCCAGGGGAGGGGCAGTGTATGCATTTAGCCAGCTGGGGGTCCTCTGGCCTGGGGTCCCTGCCCAGGGTCAAGCTTACGCCCCCACACACCACAGTGGGACTGGGAGGCGGGGAGAGAGGGAACAGGGGCTGCGTCTTGGAGGCTGGAGATCCCCTCCCTGGGGAGCCAGTCCACCGAGCCCTCTGTGGACAGAGGTCAGGGGTGTCCTCACACAGACCCTGGCCCAGGAACGCCTGACAGGTGGTCACAAGGGGGAGTGCGTGGGTGGGTGCCCCCCCCCGCCCCAGCAAGCGGGAACCTGTTTATTGGAGTTGTGTCCGCAAGCCTGGAGTCTAAAGTGTCCCATACAGAGCAGGCCTTGTGCGGAACAAGCCAGTCGCAGTCGGGCAGGGGACGGGCACGTAACGAGCATCCCGGGAACCGCACACTTAGAGCTGCGCACCCGTGACGCCGAAAACCAGGTACGACGGAGAAAGGACTGGGCACCACTTTAATGTCGTAGAAGCTTTGTCTCTAAAAATTTAAATACCTCTCATATATATGCTAACGTGGTGAAAAATCTGCCCAGACCCTGGGCAGGCTCCCTTCCTCCCCGGGGGAGGGGTGGGGGTCTGGGTCCGCCCTGGGGGGTCCCTCAGAGTCGGAGCAGGAGGCCCGTGGCGGCAGAGCCCTTGGCGGGGGCCGGCACATCCCCCCAGCCCCCGCGGCCCCCTGAGCAGGCACCCTCGGGGGTGCCCCGCTCCTCCCCCGGGGGAGCCCGTGGGGCCTGCAGCCGCTGCTGCCGCTCCTGGGCCTGCCGGGCCCGGCTGGCGATGGCGCGCACGCGGCTTTGGCTGCGAGAGGAGGAGCGCCGCAGGAAGCCGGGGGGCCCAGGCGCCCCTTCCCCCGCCACAGTCAGGCCCACAGTCAGGCTGGTGGGCGAGGTGATGTCGCCAGCCTGCTGGAAGCCTGTGAGCCAGCGCAGCTGCTCCGTCAGCGCGTCCCGCCGCGCCCCCTGCCCGGCCCGCCCCTGCCCCGCCAGGCCCAGGCTCTGGCCCGGGAGCTCCCCCCGGGGCGCGAAGTCGTCAGCAGTCAGGTCCCCCAGGCTCTTGGACTTGGCGGCTGCAGGGCAGTCCCGGAGGCCCGCCAGAGGGAGGCGGCCCCAGGGCGGCCTGGGGGCGGGGGGCAGCGGCGGAAGGTCTTCCGGTGCTGCAGGCAGCTGGCTGGCAGCCCGCAGGTTGGGGCTGGATTTGCTCTTGGTCACAGCAGGCAGGTCCAGGCGGGCGGCCGTGGCCGAGCAGGGCCGCAGGGGCAGGCGTCCGGCTGGAGCCCCCGGGGCACTCTCGCGGCCCAGGCCCAGACCCAGGCCCGGCAGGGAGAGGTCAATGACCGTGTCGCTGGACGACACACTGGAGGACGAGGACACGCTGTCGCGATGGCCCCCTGGTTCCAGCCGCCGCCACAGCCGGTCTCCGCCCGTGACGTCTGAGTACACGGTGGGGCAGGGCCCAGCCAGGGGCCGCCATCCGCCCGGGAGCTCCGAGGGCACCTGCCCCTCACTCTCGGCCTTTCGGACCATCTGGCTGCTAGGGGCCCCCTCACGTGCCCCCCCGGGGCCCCCGCCATTGTACACGCTCCGCCGGCTCTCCAGGGCCGGCTCCATGTCCCCTCGGCTCTGGGTCCTGGGCTGGAAGGGCGCGGAAGCTCCCAGAGCTACCGCTGGGGGGCTCGCCACTTTGGCGCGGGGGCCCCAGGCGCGCGGGGGCCCTCCTGGGGAGGGGCTGGCGGGGGCAGCCGCCAGAGGTGGGGGGCCGGGGCCCGGGGCTGGCTCCTCGGCGATGGTTTCCAGACCACATAGGGAGGAGCCCGTCCTCTGCACGGAGAAGGGGCGGGTATCTGTGGACGAGAGGGAGAGGACCACGCTGGGCGCGTCGCCCGTGGACAGTGCCCCCAGGACCCTCAGCGGCCAGGCGCCTCCGTGTGCACACAGCTGCCCCCACCCTGCCCTCCGGCTCTGCTGCGGCTGGGGCGGGGGGAGCAGACAGTCTGTGCCCACAGGCAGGGCCCACAGGGCCCCCGGACAGGCCAGGGCCAGGGACGGCACAGGGCACACGGGGTCTGGGCCCCATTACCTGGCACTCGGCTGCTCTCAGTCCCTAACTATGGAGGCAGCGTGGGGACAGAAAGGAGAACAGGGTGGTCAGCGTGTGGGCGGGGCTGGCAGGTGGACAGACAAACAGCAAGGCTGGGCGGGGCGCAGGGAGGGACGGGGGGTCTGGGGGAGGGGAACCGCTCAGCTTTCAGCCCCTCCCCAGGCTGGGGTTCCCTGACAAGGTGCCCTCGGGCTGTTGCCTGTCCCAGCCGCGGCTCGGCTCTACGCGGGCCACAGCGGCGCGCGCAGGGCGGGGGGGCAGGGGCCATCTGCCCCAGCCCTGCAAACGCTGGGGCCCAGGCACCGTCGGCAGCGTCGCGGGCCGCCCTGCTGTGCTGCACTGACCCGCGCCAGGCTTCTCGGAGGACTGCGGTGCAGGGCCAGCAGCCGAGCACCTGCAGCCTGGCCCTGGGGCGGGGGTGGGGGGCTGCAAGCTGCCCCCAGGCCTGGGGAAAGGCGTCAGGCGGCGGCGGGGCAGGCCAGCGCGAAGGCCCGACGGGGGCACCAGGCCACGGACATCGGCACACACAGCAGCTGGAGTCAGACCCGCTCTCACTTCCGGGCCACTTGGGGGCTTGTGGGGGGGCCTCTGGGGGCAAGAGGCCTAGGGCTTGGCACTGTCAGATGCGGAAGGGGTGCTGGGGCTACCAGGGACCCCCAGGCAAGCCAGCGGGGCAAGGGGAAAGGAAGCCAGGATGAGCACACGGAGACGGCGGTTTTGGACGCAGAAGCGCAGGGAGGGCGCCCGGCCCAGGCCATGCCAAGGGGCAGTGAGGGGGCAGCACAGGGGACGCCGGCCAGGAGCGTCCGGTCTTACCGGTGGACAGCATGGAGGATTTACTCCTAATCTCCTCCAGCTTTTGAACGAACAAGGCATTCATCTCCCTCTGCAGGGCCCCTGCCTGCCTGCGGGCACCCTCGGGCCAGCACGGGACCACCTCAGAGCTGCCCAGGCCGCTGGAGTCCGAGGACACGGAGCCGCCGCCGCCCGGACCCTGCCACTGGGCCCCTCTGCGTCTCCCCGCGCGGGGGCAGGGAGCCCCCAGCGAGTCCGCCCGGGCGCAGGGCTGCTGGCTGATGGCCTCGTGCGCGGCTGCGGGCCCCGGGCTGGGCAGCTGCCCCCGCCGCAGGCCCTCCGCGTCCTCTCCAGCGCAGGAGCCCACCACGCACTTCATGCAGGTGGCGGCCACCCCAGCAGGCCCGGGGCCCTCAGGGGCACAAGGGGACTGCTCCTGGGCCAGACCCCCCTGCGCCGGGCTCCTCCCCACCGGCGCCTTACCTCGGGGGCTGCCGGGCTCCTCGGGGGCTGAGGCCTCCAGAGCGGGGCCGGGGCTGGGGGCCGCCACGTCACGGGCCTGCCCCTCGGAGCCTGTGTCCCGCGTGCCCAGAACCAGCTCCGGGAGGGCCTTGTGGCCCGGCTTCTGGCTCTTGGTCGGGGCACTGGCCGTACGCCGCAGGAGCCGCTGGCTAACGGAAGGCCGGGGCAGGGGCCGCCCAGCAGCATGACTGTCCAGGGAGCCGGGCTTTGGGCCTCTGAGGAACAGGCCTTTTAGGCCCAGAGCCTGCTTGACCTGCAAGAGAAGGAGCCCACATAGCCGGTAGCCAGGCACCGGGGCCAGGGACCGCCCGCCCCGTCCAGGCACACCGTGGCCGGCGGTGACCAGGCTGAGCCGCCGCAGCCCCAGGGCCAGCTCGGCGAAGGCATCAGCGGGCCTGTCAGGCTTGTGCCGCCCACAGCTGCACGTAGGGGAGAGGGTCCCCAGGGCACCCCTGCCTTGGCACAGACCAGGAAGGCGCCCGCCTTCCCTGAGCGCAGCGGGAGGGTCCCCACATGCAGAGGCCCAAAGGGTCTCAGGACATGCGGGCCCAGTGAGGGCTGCAAGGAGGAGGCCCGGGCTTCTCCAAACAGGGACCCTGAACTCTGGCCCCTGCGCCCACACATGTACCCCTCGCAGGTCCCCAAAGCCCCCGGCTCTGGCAGAGCAGGCCGGCACAGGGCCCCCGGAGTGGTGCTGGCAGGGAGAGAGAGCTGAGAGAGAACCCCGTGGAAGCAGGCACCGCCCCGCTCACGCTCACCCTGCCCTCGGGCGCCACAGGCCGAGGAAGCAAGCGAAGCCGGGTGCAGGCCAGCGGTCTGCTCTCCCATGTCCCTGCCCGCCCGGTGCCCCAGGGGTGCTGCCTCTTCTGGGGAGCCTTCCTGGCTGCTTCCAGCCTCACCCTGCTCTCTGCACAGCCGTCCTAAGGGCAGGGCCCGCGCTGCCTCGGCCTCCCCTGAACTGCCGCTGGCCTCGGCCTCCCTGCCCGAGGAGAGCAGCCGGGGGTCCCCAGACTGGCCGGCAGGGGCCCGGGGCACCGCCGGGGAGGCCGAGAGCTGTGTCTCCAGAGTGCAGAGGCCGGAGGGTCCCCACATGCAGAGGCCCCGACAACAGCCACGACTCCCCAGGGACACGGGGCACTCTGGGCAGAGGCGTTCACGGGGCAGCACTTGAATCGGCTTCCCGATTCAAGATCCCAGATCCAGAGCAATTTGGTCAAAGTTGGCTGCGGAGTCATCTAGAAGAAGGTCCAGGATTCAAGCTCACAGCTCCTGGTCCCGGGGGCCTCCCCACCCCACAGCAGGTGCACACAGAGCCAGGGAGCACACGGGGGGCGGGGGACAGAGAGGAAGGGCGAGGGCAGGGAGGGCGACGGGTGCAGGGCTGCCAGTGGTGCTCCGAGCTAGAGGACCGGACACAGAGGGGCGGGGGCACGGGGCAGAGGACAGAGGAGGGACGGAAGGCCGGGAGGGGTCCACGCACAGGGGGCCTCGCCGGAGTCCTGGACCTGCCTCATAAATGCCGCTCTGTGGCTGAACATGGCCCGGGGGACCCCAGAACCACACCACGATCCATGTCACATGAGCGGACAGTCTCCAAAACGCTACCAGGAGTCACGGATGCTAATGGGTACGGCCTGAGCATGCGGGTAGGGGCGGGCAGCTCCGCCACCCCGGCGCTGGGGTACCTTCGAGCTCCTAACGGGACTGTCCTTCTAAAAGTAGACTTTGGACATGGGGAAGCGCACTGCAAGACCAAAGAGACAGAGTGACGGCCGTGAGACGCCGACAGCCGGGCCGGAGCCCGCGGAGACAGGCAGACGGGACAGACAGACGGCTCGACGGCGGGCAGGAGCAAGCGGCCGCGCCCGGCAGCACCTCGGAGCCGTGGAGGTGGCAGGAGAGAGGCGGTCGGCGCCAGGACCACACGGGCCCCCCATGCACGCCCAACAGACCGCCACACGCTGGCCCCGCCTGGGCCCGGAGCTCAGAGCTGGGGGGATGGAGGAGGACCCCCATCCAGGGATGTGGGGGACGGGGAGCAAAGCCAGGCGGACCCCTTCCAGCCAGAGACGGACGGAGAACTGGGGACCCTGAGACACAGAAGGCGTGAGGAGGCTCGGGAAAGACGGGGAGCGGGGACGGGGGCCACAGCGGCCGCGGGACACAGAGGTCAGGTGCCCCCACCGCCCACTCTGCAGGTGTGGAAACAGGCCCAGTGAGTGGCCAGGAGGCCCAACGGCCCTGGCAACATGGCTGGGGTGGGACTGGGGTGGGGCGAGGCCGGTGGTCCTGCAGGCGGCACTCACCTTACCACTGATGTCACTGACGGCCACGTGGACAAAGATGGAGGCCTCTTCCATCCCCTCCAGGTACACATGCCGATAGCCTGAAATGGCCGGTCACGGCTCACCCTGCCCCACTCTGCTCAAAGGTCCTGAGGCCCTGAATCCAACCCGTGAGCCCAGCTCTGGGGACTCCTCCTCCAGGAAGCCCGCTGGTATTGCAGGCTCTTCCTCTTTCTGGGGGCCGGGCAGCGCAACACCTGAGCGCCCCTCCCTCCCCATCCACAAAGTGCCCTCGGTCTTGTACCTTCCTCCTCGGCTCGCTCTGTGTCCCTAGGCCCCCCCATGGCAGGAGTCGACCCATAGGAGGAAGGTCAGCCCTGGCGCCCTCAGCTGACCTACAGGGGACACTGGTCTGTGTATGGGGGGCGGGTCTCTGTGGGGTACGCTGGTCTGGGGTGGAATGCTGGCCTCCATGGTGGACGCCTGCCTGCGCAGGGGACGCTGGTCTCTGTTATGGGGGACACCACCCCGCCCCACCCTGCCGGCCCTCTGCCCACCTGGCATCATGCTGCTGAAGGCCAGTGTCCTCTGGCCAATGAAGTCCCGCCCAATGGGGTCATGGTCCCAGACGAGGAAGCGCACCAGTGTGATCTCAGGCATATGCACAGTGAACACCAGGGTCTCCTCCCACACGGGGTTGAATCCTGGCGGCCACCGGAAGCAGGGTCACCTCCCACCCCAGGTCCAGCCTGGAGGCCGCTGGGGCCCACGCCCTCTTCCGGTGCCTGGGCCAAGAGGAGCAGCACCCGGGGACCAGGCTCTGAGCCAGGCTCCCCCAGGAGGCCTAGGTCACAGGAGCGGCCCCAGCCCCCTCCCCTGTGAGGCTGCGGTCAGCGGAGCCTGGCGGGGCCCTGGGCCTCACCGTTGTCGTCCACCACTCGCGTCTGCTCCTTGCTGCAGTCCACGGGGAGCCCGATGACCTCCACCTCCACAAAGGGGTCAATGATCTGGGGGGAGGGCAGGGGTGGCACTGGGCCTGGGGTGTTGCTCCAGCCCCGCCCACCCACGCCAGGACCCCTCCTACCTCGCCTCGGTCCCCCAGCATTGAATCCCTTGGCTTGGGGAGCTGCTGCCCGCTGATGATCCGGAGCACCAGCTGCTTTTTGAGCTGCCCGGGCAGAGGGTCCTCGGAGTTGGGGTTGAAGATGCCTGGGGGGTCAGGGCGCCAGGCTGAGGGGAGCGGTGGCTGCACAGTGCACCCCACCGCACCCTGTTGACCGGACAGGAGCCCCAGGCCAGGGGCGGGGAGAGGGGGGGCAGGGTTCCAGCTCGGGGGCACCAAGGGTCTGCGTGCTGGCCCCTCTGTGACCGCCCTGAGCTAGGACACCGTCCTCTCCCCTCTCTGCACGCTGCCTCTGGGTGGGGGGCCGGGGCTGGGCGCCCCAGCGATGGGGGTCTGCAGGCCCATCCCCCGAGGAGGTGTGGTGAGGCTGGCAGGAGGGGTGGGGGGAGGATTCAGGTTAAAATGGGGAGAACTGCACACATGATCTCCAGCGGTTTCCAGTGAGAAAACTGAAGGGTCTGGGAAGGGACTGGGAAGCTCTGGTGACTGGCCCGGGCCGGGCCCTCGCTCCAGGGTGCCTCGGCCTGAGCCCCGTGGGGAGTCGCCTCAGACATGTCCTGCTGGGGGGCCGCATGGTGGGCCAGGCATGGCGAGGGGCTCCCTAGTTTACCCCCTGCCGACCCCTGGCAGAGTGGGGACCCTTCACCACACCCCCACCTCTGGCATCCTGGGGCCACGTCCTGGGTGGCCCCCCAGGTGACCCTGCGGCAGCTGCCCCTGCCCGCCCCGCGTCCCGGGCCCCCGGGCCTCACCCTGGCACATGCACTGCGGCTTGAGCACGTAGCCACAGTTCCCGTTGGCACTGAACTTGGCGCGGTTCAGCTGCAGCATCCGCCCCTCCGACTGGTAGTTCAGGGCGACTACGGGGTGGGGACATGGGGCGGCCTGGTCAGCGCCCAGCCCACCTCCCCCTGCCTCCCCTGCTCGGCTGCCCGAGTCCTGCGCTCTCCTATGTGAGCCAGCCCCAGGCTCACCGTGATGCACAACCAGGGCCAGCGTCCCCGCGGGATGCCCCTGGAGCCCCGCACAGCCAGCCCCCCGCCTCCCCTAGGAGCACGTGGGCCTGTGTGCCTCTTGCACACCGTGTCCCGGGGTCTGGAGGACCCCACCCCAGTGCCAGCCCGGTGACACGGCGGGATGTGGTGGAGGCTCTCCAAAGCCACTGGCCAGGGAGCCCAGCCCAGGCTCCTTGGAGCGCTGGGCCCCCCCGTTCACGGTCCCAGCAACACGCACCCATCTGGCAGCCCGCGTTCCAGAAGGGCTGCGGGTTGTAGTTGCTGGAGTCCACGCGGTAGGAGGAGGGGTAGATGCGGGAGAGCTGGTGCTGGTTGAAGCGGAGGTACTGGGCCGGCTTCTGCTGCAGGATCTGCTGAGCCCTGGTCTCGCTGAAGGACGACACCTGCCAGCTGGACGCCACTGGCGGGGGGGGCGGGGGCTCAGAGGCACGCCCGGGCCGCGGCCCAGCCCTCCCCCACGCCCCCAGGGCCCTCGTCCCCTCACCCTCCGCCTCCACGTCGTGCATGCCCACAGACTTGGTGTACTTCACCAGGTCCGAGAGGGCGCGGGACAGCTTCATGGTCTTCTTCTGCCGGCTCGCCCTGCGGGGAGCGTGGGCAACAGCGGTCAGGACCCCAGGGTGGGCGCCCCTCCCGACTCAGGCCAGCCTGGGCACCACGGTTTGCGAGCCAGGCTCACTGATTCATGCAGAACGTCCCCCTAACGCCCACTACGCCCTGGTGTAGGTGCCAGGACACTGAGGAAGGACAAGGGGGAGGGGCAGGCACCGGCGCCGAGCCCACCCAGGAACGCATTTCCAACCGCGGCGGGCGCTAGGAGCAGGAACGGGGGCCCATGCTGGCCAGTCTGGCCCCGAGACCCGGAGGTCCACACCCTGGGCTCCCCCTCCCCCACCCCACTGTGCGGTCACGGGGCCACCGCGGAGCCTGCGCATCCAACACCAGCTGTCGCAGGGACACGAGCACATCCTGCCACCACTCTGGTCAGGGGCCAGGCTGGGGCAGGGCACTGACCCTCGGCTCTGGCTGCCTTGGGAGTCCGGGTCCTCATCCCCTTCCTCCATGCTGGCCGCTTTCTTTAGCTTGCTGCTCTTCTTCTGTGCAGAAGGAGAGCGAGTCAGGCCCCGTGGAGCCCCTGGCTCAGCCGAGTCACCTGCACTGGCCGGCAGGGTGAAGGAGGCAGGCCTGCCATCCGGGGGTCCTGGTTCCCCAGCTTCCAGGCTGGGCCCGCCGGTCCTCTGCAGTATGCTGGTCGGCCTGGGCCCCGAGTGACCCGGGGGCATGGGCTGGGGAGGGCCATCAAGGCCTCTACCCCGTGCAGCCCCAGTCAGACCAGGTAGCTAGGAGTCCAGAGGGGGATTCCAGGAGACAGGCCCAGGGCCCTGGGAGCTGGAGGGGATGCCCCGGCTGGCCGGCCCAGGGACAGTTGGGCAAGCGGGAAGACGGAGCATGGTGGGCTCCGGCAAGGTGCCCCCGCCTGGGAGCCCCGCCAGACCTTGAGCATGGAGAAGCCGCTCATAAGGATGCGGTTGTTCCGTCGGCTGGCCCCGGCATCCTCTCTCGACTCCACGTCCTCCTCAGCCTGGGGGAGAGGGAGACAGAGGTGACGGTGGGGGGTGGGGGGGGAACCTGGCCTCAGTCCCAGGGGCTCCAGGCACCCCTCCCGCAAGGAGCCCGGAGGCAGCAGGGGCAGGTAGGGCCCGTGGAGACACATTCCGCAGCCCGCCCTGGGGGCTCAGCGGCCGCAGGGAGCGGGGATCCAAGAGGGAGCCCCTCGAGATGTGTTGCTTTAAGCCCATTAAGGCCCCTGTTCTGAATTTTTTCCCCGCAGTGGGTGAGTGTATGATAAACGCCGTTTGTGTGTCTGCAAGGTTGCTCGGCCGTGCGCACTTCCGTAAGGCCCGTGCGAAGCTCCCTGTGGCTCTGGGGTCCGGCCCTGCTTCTTGCGGAGACAAATGCGGGTCTGCGCCCCCAAAGCTGCCCTTGTTGGCATCAGGGCTACTGTGAGCCTTCCTGGCCGCTACTTATGGGACTCCTTCCCCGCCCCGCCCGAGGGGGCTCCCCAGGCCCCATCCTGCACACGCATCTGCACACACCTGTGGGCACACCCCTGCACATCTGCAGCTCCCCACCAACCATGCCCCGGCCTGGACCGCCGGCCTCGCAGCCTGGACCCCGGAGCTCAAGCCGGGCCCCACTGTGCCCGACGGGGGAACACATGATGGTCAGCTCTGCAGCTCCCCACCAACCATGCCCCGGCCTGGACCACTGG